GATCATTAATATGGATCATTAATATGAAGTGAAAGGTGGTTTGATATCTATAATCCAAAAGAGTTTCACAGTCTATTGGCCCAGAAACTATCCGGAGAGCGACAATTAAAATATTACATCACCAGTAGATTGGCTGGATTGAGTAAAAGGTCATCAGCAGCAGACACCGTAAGAACAAGTAGCATGGTGCAGCTCACCCCATCTATTACTGCCACCAGGAGGCAGTGCCCTAGTCCCCATAATGTAATACATTATAAGCGGAAAAGGTTGCATGGTTGCTGCAGTGTGCAATAAACATGACATTGTCTTGTTTTTTTATTTTTTATAAACCGGTGTTTTCCTTTCACAATACATATTTAACATATTCCTTGTTATTTTGTGTTACTGATTGAAATCTAAAACTCAAATAAAGATGTGCTGGGATGTGTTTTTTTTTGCTTTATGAGAGTGAATTTTAGATTGTAACCCTTTAAATTATAATATCATGTGCCAAAATGATAAGTTATTTGTATGAAACAGTGCAAACACAAGATTTCAAGATCATGGGTGGGATCTTGTGGTCTGTTTGTATTGGTTTGTACACACTGATTAGTCACAACATTAAAACCACCTGCCCAGTATTGTGGAGACCCCTCTCATGCTGCCAAAACAGCTCTGCGTTGAGGCATTGACTCCATAAGACCTCTGAATGTGTCCGGTGGTATCTTGCACCAAGACATTAGCAGCAGATCCTTTAACATCCGCAAATTGTGAGGTAGGGCCTCCGTGGATCAGATTTGTTGTTCTTGTTCATCCCAATCCTAATCACATCTAAATCAGATTGAGAGCGGGAGAATTTGGAATTTTTTTACCAGAAGCTGAAAGAAGCAATTGAATTGTAAAAGGTTTGCCTTGACGTGGCAGGTGAGCTTACACTTAATTGGCCATTGGAGTAATACTAAAAAACTCCAGTTATTTAAATGTGCATAGGGATTTGAGCTAGTTTGCAAGTTAGTCTTTTCTTTAGTTTTCATTCCAGAAGATATACGTCCTTTTAGTTTTGAACACAGATATATACTGGAATATTAAAGTATATAATATTAAATATAGAAAACACTGTGCTTAAAGCTGCAAAGTAGAAAGTATTTGTAGCTGAAATCCGAGCACACTTGGCTGCATATTTGAGTACCTTTCAGGGGAGAAATACCCCTGGAGAAACCCCTGGAGAAATAGGTCTTAACACAAACCCATTCCCAGCAATATATACTTTGTCTATACCACTAATTGTGTAGGATAATGAACATGTAACCAGACAATACAACATATAAAATTAATTAAACTATTTATTGATAATGCATCTTAAAAAAACTTTGAAGTGATATTATAAATAGGTGCATATTCCTATTTGTAGGAATAAAAATACAAATAAAAACTTGACAAAAACCTAAACAAACTGTAAAACTGTAAAAAAATCTAAGCAGGTAAAATTAATCCAAATAGATATAAAAAAAAAGGTTTACATTTCCCTGTATAAATGTCCACTGCCTCCTGTGTAGTAGTTAATCAGGCCTCCTCAATATCTTCTGAACAGCTTAGCTTCTGACACCGTTTTAGTGAAAAATCCTTCAGGCTCACTCTGGCAGAGATAGTGTAAAATCCTTTAAAAAGAGCAACTTTGTTCAAACGCGTTTCGCCTGTGCTGGCTTTATCAATGACACTCAATTGCAGCCATGTGTGCAGACTCTGTATGTCCAATGGATGATCACTCATTAAAATTAAACCATGTAGTATAAATCTATTGTGCATTTATTAGAAACTTCTGTGGTTACTATTGTACTCTTGTCTTTCTTTTCTAAAAAGCTTTATATAATACTGTCCCTAATTAATGGGACAAAAAGGGGAAAAGGAGAGAGAGAGAGACACACACAAAAAAATAAATAACTACAACTCCTTAAAGGGAGCACTTTTTGCACTCTTCTTGTTGTAACCTTCTAAAAAACAAATCCTTCTCGTTTTTTCCCCCCTTCTTCTCCTTTCTCTTTTTCCCTTTCCCTTTCCAATAAATGGATATAATATGCGCTCTGATTATACTCCAAAAAGTGACATGATTCAAATTCAGCATTCAAATCATATAGTTGTAGTGTACCTAACTGATATTTCTTTCTTTCCAAGTTCCCTAACGTAATATCCCCCTCTTGCTCCTTGGCATATAGCCTTAATTCTAACAGGCTTCCATTGTGCAACCTGCAAAATACACGGATACTGAATGTAACATTAATTTTCTTGTAACATTGCGCCTATGTTCCTGTACTCTCTTAGCTAACTTCATCGTGGTTCTCCCTACAAATTGTAGCCCACATGGGCACTTTAACACATAGATCACGTTACTACTCTCACATGTCAAAAATTCTTCAATCCTGGAAGGAGTTTTATCATGTGTCGATGTAACTTGATGTACATCTTTGAGAATTTTCTTTTTAGTATTTTTGAATGAAATACAATTATTACATGCATTGAAGCCCTTTATGTTTTTCTTCTTGGCATTCTTTTTTGCTGGGTCTCTGTGGCTTCTCCACTAGTTTATTCTTCAAATTTGGAACACCCCTGAAAACAATTCCGGGTTTTATTTTGTGTAACACCTCGTCTTTCTGGAGAAGATTCCAATGTTTATTGATTATTTTCTATAATCCAGAATTAATGGGAGACCATTTAGTTGGTGTTGCTTCTTATGTGTCAACTTTGATTTTCTCAGTAGGGTCATTCTTTCCATTTATTCTTTTTCTTTTAAACATCTGCTTAGATCTTCTTCTTCATACTCTTTTTCTATGAATTTACCTTTAATTGCTTCAGCTTGTTCCAGGTACACTCCTTTATCCATAAAATTTCTCCTTAGTTTTTTGAGTTTGTTACTTGGTATATTTTTCAGCCACGGTGGGTAATGGCAACTCTTTTTTCTTAGATAAAACTATTAACATCCACCTCCTTGAAAAACTTTATTGTTTTCAATCCTTGCCTCTCTGTATAAATGACCAAATCAAGAAATTCCACAGACTCCTTACTATAAGTATGGAGTTCAGATGTCTCAAAAATTAGTCTAAAGTGTCACTGTCTATGTATCTCTTGTATAGGCTGATGTTCTGATCCGACCATGATTCAATACCATGCAGTATGAATTGAATCCGTTTTTTCTGATAACTTATCAGTAGAATGAAGTACATTGAATACTGGCTTACATCCTTGTTGGTGGTCTATTAAAGTGTACAGTGATGAGACATCTGCCACTACTAAATAATGTTCTTGAGACCATTGACAATTTGTTAGAATGTTAATGATATGGGATGTGTCTTTTAAATGGGAGGAAACATTAGTAACATATGGCTGAAGAATGTCACCCCCACCCTTCATCTTATCTACAGCCAAGGATGGTGGGACATTGTGCTGCCTGGTGATCCAGTGGTGGCGCATGAGCTTTAGCCCGCAGCTCTTGTGGCTGCACACTGACTTTACTCTTCTCCTCCCGCAAGCTGAGCGCTGTGTCGTATTGTTGCCATGGTAATGCACGGCAACACTCAGTCCAACCTGTTCGCAGTAGGAACTTACAGCGTCCCAGGCACTCCTCCTCTCTCTCTCCACTAACAAAGTTCATTTGGGCTAGTGAGGGAGGTCCTTGATCTCCCCACCGGCCCTAAAAGGGAGATAGTAAGGTTTGCTCTGCATGGGCCGGCAGGAGAGATGAAAGGATCTCCCCTGTCAGCCTCCGCACATGGGCATCGCAGTGGGGCCCCTATGCTTGTGGGGCCCCTGGGCAACTGTCCAGTGTTTCCATGTGGAAAGAGGGCCCTCATTGCAGCTTACATTCCTTTAGCCAGCCTTCCTATGCTACTGGTCTGCGGGGCCACCACCCTCCTTGCTAGCGCTCATATAGGCTAAATTCCTTGAGATTACTAAGAATTAATCTGAAGATGCAATAACACTACTGTGATTATGGCCATTTTCCTAGTGTGTCTCCAAACATGGAGATATTCGAATCAATATAATCTTGCTCAGGGGCAGATTTAACATCAATGTGAAATAGGCACAAGGGAGAGGCACAAGTAGTTATACTATTCCTACCTACTGAATGCCCAACAGAGTATCTGTGCAGGGGTCGCGCAAATGACATCTAGCCAGCTGTTAATTTGAAGAGCGGAATTGTGGTGCCGTACAGGACGCCATTAGGATGAACAAGAATCCGAAAACATATAGGATCCCTCAGATAAGTTTATTATCTGAATAGTTACATCTGCTCCCTGATTCCCAGTTTTATGCTATCTTTATTATCTTGCGTGCCTTAAATCTGTATAATATTTACTGATCAGCTGTGGGACTTAGAGTCTTCGTGAGCCACTTTTTTTTTTTTTGGGCTGATTGCTGCAGGGGTGTTCTGAATTAGCCGAACACACATAAGGCAGAAAACTGAATAAAATAAAAAAATATACAACTAATACATATATATATATATACAGCTGAATACATTGTGATAAATAGAAACCAGTTAGCCAGCTGGTAATTGAATGGATGAGTACTGTAAATATATATAATACTTTCTGACAGGCTCCGAGTTTTTAGTGAGATGTATTTTTTTGGGGGAGGAGGAGAGTTGCTGCAGGAATGTTCTGAAGTAGATGAGTACCTATAAGGCATCAAATGTAATAAAATAAAAACATTGCATTTGTCTAGATTGAAATTAGCTAAGATATATATATATATATCTGAATAGCTGAATAACGTGCGATGAACTGAGACAAAGTGAAAAGGGGAGAAGAAAGAAAGGACAATACAAAGGGATAATAAAAGAAAGAGATCCTGTAAAATATATTATATAATTATATTGCAATCTATATTAAGACCCAACCAATCCACTTCGAATAATTACAGTGGTCTGGCACAGATTGCGATAGAAATAAAGAGGAGAGAGAGAATTTTATTTTTTTATTTTACTTTTTTAATTTTTACATTTTTTTCTGGATTTAAATATTGATATGGCAACTAAAAAGGCTGCCAAACCAAAGAATCCTAATAGAAGATATAAAAAACAGGATAATAAACCGGAAAAACGTCTCTTCTTTTTCTCTCCTCAAATAAACAAAACGGATATGGACAGAACAGACCTGGAGGAAAATTCTTTAAATATGCCAGAGCTAACCCCCAAAAATTCTATGCTGGACACAGGAAAGGACGACCAAGTAATTACTAAAGCCTTTCTGGAAAGAGCATTTGATTCCCAATTAGAGAAATTTAAATGTGAAATTAATAATATTATGAGAGATATTAAAGAAGAGCTACAGCAGTTAAGGAAACAGCTTCAAGAAAATGAAGCATGTATGACACAATTACAGCCTACTATTCAACAACATGAAGATATTGCCAAAAAACAAGATAACAGAGTTAGCACAATGGCTAAAAAGATTGCCGAACTTGAAAACAGAAGAAATAATTTAAGGCTCAGGGACATCCCAGAATCCATATCTCAGGATAGACATAAAAACACTCGGCATAGACATATCAAGAAACGGAGAACCTCTGGGAAGATGCCACTGGATTTTTAAACCACCTGGAATCCATAGTTCTAAGCCTCGTGATGTCATCATTTGCTGCGTATCATCTAGACTCAAAGATCAAATTATCAAAGCAGCGAGAGAAACCCATTTACCTCATGAATATGCACAAATAAAAATATTCCCTGATTTGTCCTTCTATACCAGATCCGAAAAAAGATGCTAGGCAGATTTAACGAAGATATTACGAAATAAAGAAATCAGATACACTTGGGGATACCCTACGCAAATTATTATTTCCTATGAATACAGCACAATTGTATGTGAATCCCCTGAAAAACTCAAAAGCTGGCTTAAAGAAAAAAATTATAAAGAAAAAGAAAGAGACCTTAACTTAATTATATCCATGGGAGAAAGGGAAGAGAGAGGAAAGAGAGGAAAAAAAATTATAATTATAAATGTAACATTTGCACCGTATACTGTAGACACAGCTCACTTTTTAAACAATTCTTAATGCACTAACACTTTAAAATGGAGTAGGTAGAGGGAAAAAAGTTGAAGAGATATAAAAAAAGGGAAGGTGACATTTTTGAATTCACAGTTATAAATTGCTGATCACTAGGAAGATTATATAAAGGGAGAGAGAGGGAGGAGAGGGGAGAGGGAGAGAGAGGGAGGGGAGAGGGAGGGGGAGGAAGGGAGAGGAAGGGAGAGGGAGGGGAGAGGGAAAGAAAGAGTGAAAAGGAAGTGTGTAAGGGCACAAGAATGTATACTACATTAAAAATGTTAGATTATCACATACATTTAGACAATATTAATTAACACCTAACATAGACACATTTAGAAAGAATTAAAAGATAACAAATGACACACTAATTTGCATACAAACTATATGTAAAGAAACTTTTTTTTCTTTCTTTTCTCTTCCTTCGGCTGGGACAGGAATTTTCGTGTTTTTTGTTTTTTTACTGTGACGGACCGCCTGGCACCCCAACCGAGTACCTCCGTCAATCGCTGCTTCCTAGTACATGCGAGTACCATAAGCATTGCACTGGAACATCATAACGACCGTAGACCCCCTGAACCGCCGCAGCTTGGTTGGGGTCTCACCGTCCTCCATCCACCCTGGACCCAAGACCAGGATCCAGCTTCCAGTGAGTAGACCTCTACTTCAAAAGGGCGTTTGAAGCTCTGGCTGTTCACTTTTTCACTGGGCACCTTATTTTTTGACTCACTTTTGATTTAACATGTTGTTCTAATTACTTACTTTCACTTTTTGTTTCTATGTCTATCTAGCAAGATTACCAGGGAGAGTGGCTTTGCTACATTATTAATTCATGCCAGTATTTTACTGACATTAGAACTTTCTTGCGATCCCTTCCTCTCCATTACTTGCTTTCTGTGATTATCTGAGCACAATTTTTGGCTATAGATCGCATAGTTCCATTGGACAGCTTGTTAGACTAGTTGTTATAATTACCATCACCTTTTGATATATATCTATACAACCTAATAAGCCACCTGTATTAAGAAAGAGTACTTTGATAACTTGCTAAATAACGCCTGTTTGTTTTGACATTTGACTGGAAGCTGCACTTTAGGATTACTTAGACTCAGATATTAACTCTAATACTCCTGTTTTAAACATTTCATTGGAGCCATCCCAATAAAGCTCTTTTTACCTAATTAGGAACAATACTGAGACCACTATGTGATCTTTCTTATATGGACATAGGAAGTAACCCTATAGGGTTATGACTACACAGAACGGGTGTGTTTCATAGCTTGCAATTCTCTAAATACATATTGCTATATACTTTTTTATTATTGTCGTTTTCTTTTAAGCTATATATCCTCTATATAATCCTCAACTGACTACTCCCATTATCTCCAGGCAGGGGAAGCATAGTCACCTTTAGTGTACTTCCATACCTCTTTTATTATTTTTGTAACGTTGGCACTAGTGGGTTAAGCCCTTAGAGAGATTAGAATCTCTCATCGATGCTCTGTTAGTTTGGACCACTGAGACATAACCTATTTATGGTCTGTCACAGTTGATCCACACTGATTATTTTCTCTACATAGTATTAATACAATCCTCATTCAATACATTTATATGCGCAGGTAAAAAACCTAGAATAAACCGTGAAACAATGTCAAGGAAAAAAGACGAAGGAGGCCTAAATATTCCAATTATCCAGGTATTGCACAAGCCAATTTATTGGCATACTTTTTAATTGTAAATAAGAAAAACTCAAAGAATGAAAACTGGTATATCAACGAACAGAAATTGACCATAGGTAATAAAGATTATAAGTCCTTTCTATGGTCAATAGATAAAGAAGATATACATTATAATAAAACCTCAAATTCACTAATAGTCCAACAAATTTTCCCAACTTGGTTTCTTTAAAAAAAAAAAAAAAATTAGTATAAAAGAAAAAATAATACCAGTTACACAATTAAAAATACTATCAAATTTAATGTTAGATATAAACCTAGAAATTTGGTTACAACTGTATAAAGAAGTAACCTAATAAGAGGAAATATTTTTAAATCTTTCGACCAACTCCAAGAAGAATATAGTTTACCATCCACGGAATGGCTCAATTATAAAAAAAAGAAATTATTTTCTAAAAAGTTATTTAAAATTCAACTTTCTTGAGCCCCCAATTAAGATTCAATATCTTAATTGGGGGCTCAAGAAAGTTGAATTTTAAATAACTTTTTAGAAAATAATTTCTTATTTTCTAAAAAGTTATTTAAAATTCAACTTTCTTGAGCCCCCAATTAAGATATTGAATGATTTGCTTGAAAAAACAGATTATACCCACCTAGTCAATAAATGTCAATAAAACTAATTTATAAAACACAAGGAAAGCCAACTCCTCTGGCAATTGCAAAATGGAATCATGATTTGAATATAACATAAGTATGACATATTGCAACAATTCTCTTATGATTTTGTATAAAGCTTGTCATTGTCTGAATATGCATGAAACCCATTATAAGATATTACATAGATGGTATAGAACCCCTCAATTTTTTTTAAAAAATGTATCCGACAGCCTGCTCAGCATGTTGGAGATGCCCTGAGCGGATAGCAGATTTTAAACATATATGGTGAGATTGCCCGATAATCCAGTATCTTTGGGAAGTAATGAGTCAGTATTTGTCTACCTTATTAAAAAAGAAGTTAAAACTGACTCTGAAAATGGCTTTGTTACATAGGGACATGAAGGCAATTGATAGAAGTCTTGGTCCGGTTGCCCTCCATATATTAATGGCTGTCAAATTATCAATAGCCAGGAATTGGAAGTCTCCTTTAGTGGACAAGTTGGCCCAAGATTCACTCACAAATTATTATACAATGTAATATGGAGCGAGCGATCCCCTTTGTTGTTCCATCAATATGGTTATTGGGACAGATGGTTTAAAAGATTAACAGCTTAATAGTTCTTTGTATCTTTACTAGTCCCTAGCTATAAAATAACTATAATTAATATACAATATTCCTTTGTTGCACCTAACCCGGTGGACTCCGCCTCTCATTTGTCTTGCAGAGGTAAGTCCAGGGGAGCAAATTGTGCCCAATGTCTCTCTGACATCCTTCTACTTGTATCAGCAGATGCTCTTTGATAAAAAGTTAGATACACATTACTTATGAAAATCAAAGTCAACTTGCAGATTCTGATAAAAATTCTGTTGCCTGGGCACTTTCCTGCACATCTGGTGGGAATGCCCAAAGAATGAGACATTTTGGAAAGTAATCCATGGTATACTCAAAATCTTCTCTGAAAGTCCCCCACCTTTGTGGCCTGCCCGAATCCTTCTTTAACACACCCTTGTCGCAACATCCAGATACAAAAAAAATAATCCCTCACTATCAGTATTCTCCACATTGCCAAACAGGTGGCTCTCTTGTTCAGGTAAAAGGAGGCACCACCACCACCACCACTCAGCCTTGGAACACAAGAATGGAAGAGTTAAAACAACATTACACTGCCCAAGGTTGGTTACAGAGTTATGTTGATACATAGGCTCAATGGCTAAGTTTGGCCTACAGTACGGACTTCCTGCAATCATGTATAGCTAAGACATAGAATATAATATGAGTAGGACCACATAATAGAAGGGTGGTCCTGAGTTGTTGGGAGATGGACAGGCTGTGGATGCGTACAAGGGAGGATACAGATGGCCAAGATGTGGATTACAGCAGATGGAGATGCCTCACTGAGAGGGGTGGAGGGAGAAGGGGAGGGTCTCCTGCAAATGGACAGGTTCTGAGTATATCATTGTGTGTTTTCTTTTATTTTCTTTCTTCTCCCCTGCCTAGGGGCCAAAATAAAGTGAAATCAGGGGCGCCTGGTGTTATTGTTATTTAAATGTTCCTAAGTGGGGACCTGCAAGTCCCTCTTTGTTTTGATACAAGTTCAGGAATCGGGTCCTGCAAACCCACACATTCAAAAAAGATAGGGACCCTAGTGTCCCATGTGCACCAGTAAAACAGCTTCTCATAAACATAAAGACCAAAGACCAATATCTGTTATATGAAACTATGCTTAGTGTAAGACACAGTATTGCTCTACTAAATATGAAATAAGAACTAGTATAGAATGTGTTTTGAACATGTAACAGCGGTAAAATGACACAGGGTCCGGAGAACAGGGAGGGGTTTCTGCGGGCCTGTACTCACCTGCAGCCTGAGAGCCACCAAGACAACTGCTATAACGTGCCTTAGGCGATTCTGTTTAATAAATTTGTACCTTTATGTTCCAAAACTTGCTTGAGCTAAAGTGACGTGGCCTGGCATGATTACCAATTATACTTCACCTTTTCGCAGGGACCAGCTAGTCCCTTAGTAATCTGTTATATATACCGGTTTTGGGTCCTGTAAGACCAGTTACAGTGATCACATTTAGGGATCTGCATGTCCTCTGATGTTTAAGATTATAAATATCTTGAAAATGAAAATATAAATGATATTAACAAAAAAAAAAAAGATTCTGTTGTCGATTTTAATTTTAATAAAAAATCCTATTACTACAGTC